GACTTACACGAAGTAGTTGTTAGATGATATATTTAGTGTGACTCACATGAAGTGTGTTAGAATTAAACCATGTGCTTTTAGAGTGTACACATCGAGCTCAAGTGAATTTGGAGTGTTACATTCTTTACATTTATGTTTGCTGTTATTACTATAGACGAGTGGAAATTAGAAGTCAGCAACATCCTCCCCAGGGGATTCATCCTTGACAAGTGCAGGGAGCTGAAATTTGCCACTACTGAGCTGTAATAAATGGAGCTAAAAAATTGTGACACATATTGAAGGAGTGGGAAGGGATTTGGGAAAGCTTTGTTTGTTTGTTTGTTTGTTTGTTTGTTTGTGATATCCTGGCTGAAGCAAAAAGGCCAGCCAAAGCTGTGCAATGTGTTTGGAGGTAAAATATACAGTGCTGCTACTATTTCCTTTGTCAAAGTACATTAAAATTTTATCTCCATGTGATAATCACAAAAAGTCCTTTTCTCACAGTCATTCGTATTCCAAGTATGTCCCAGAGGCATTTGACAAACTGGAAATTTTTATGTCAAATGTACAGGGGGGTACAGGGTTGTCTGGGAGGGATGTTGAAGTGTCAAATTTACCAGAATATATCCAATACCATGCAGTCAGATTTTGGTAAGAGGTACTGCTTTACATTTTGCGGCATCTTTGCATTTGCTACATCTCCACTTTCTACCACTGTTTAGTGCCCATGCCTGTACATTAACACATGTGGGATGATACCATGCTTTGCATTTGTAACTGCACTGAACATATTCATCTTTATCATATGGAAGTCTACATACACAGTAAATAGCAACGGCAGATTTGTTGCAGTTTAAGTGAAAAGGTACCCTTCGTGTTGTTCTGGGAAATTGCACCATCGCTCCATTTTCTAGGCAGTTAACATAGTGTTGCCGCATAGATCCTTGATCGTGCCTTAGATGGACTGGGTCCAAACCATGACACAGATCAGTTGCAAAAGCCAGTGAAAATAAGCCACAGTCGTTAGCACCCACTTGTCTCTGGACCTTTTTGTTTATGAACGTGACTTTAGAACCGGGATACATCAACATACGACAAGCGTGTTCTACTGCAATTGAATTGGGCTTTTGATATATGCTATCAAAGATTTTGACCGTGCCAGTGCCAGGTGTTGTTGAAATTGTACTAAGGCACACCCAGTGAGACCCAGTATTCAACATCTGTACGAACTTGGATGCTGTAGGCACAACATGTGAACCTTTTGTTGCTGGATCATGAAGGCCATCTACATATGGAAAATCTTTCTTTAGAAGCAGCTGCCCTGCATGGATCTTTGAATCAGCTAGCCAGTAGTTCTTTTTTAAGATGCTTGTTTTGCTTTCCAGGTAGAGAACAAGTTTATGATCAGGATCATCAGGACAGCAGTTTTCAAGTTTCACCCATGAACGAGGATCAGGAGAATTGTCGTCAACAATAATTGCACTGGCTGTGCTGGAAGGGACACAGCTTCGAGCAGCTGGTGGTACTACAGTGGGAATAGCTGATGGTACTGCAGTGGGAGTAGCTGGTGGTACTGCAGTGGGATTAACTGGTGGTACTGCAGTGCACGTAGCTGGTGGTACTACAGTGGGCGTAGCTGGTGGTACTGCAGGGGGAGTAGCTGGTGGTACTGCAGTGCGCGTAGCTGGTGGTACTGCAGTGGAAGCAGCTGGTGGTACCGCTGTGGGAGTAACTGGTGGTACTGCAGTGGGCGTGGCTGGTGGTACTGCAGTGGGCGTAGCTGGTGGTACTGCAGTGAGCGTAGCTGGTGGTACTGCAGTGGGAGTAGCTGGTGGTACTGCAGTGGGAGCAGCTGGTGGTACTGCAGTGGGAGTAGCTGGTGGTACTGGAGTAGGAGAACTGGTTGTACTATAGTGGGAGTAGCTGGTGGTACTGCAGTGGGGGCAGCTAGTGGTTCTGTCGTGTGAGTAGCTGGTGATACTGCCGTGCGAGTAGCTGGTGGTACTGCAATGCAGTGGGTGTGGGGTTTTGCTGTAGATTGGTTCTGTGGTTTAGCAGCAGCTTGAACGCCAGGTTCAGCATCAGGTTTGGTACATGTAGTAGATTCAGCTTCCAGTACCCCAGTGGGAGTAATTGAAGTTGGTGCAGGATTAGGATCAGATGTAGCTGGATCAGCTTTGTAATCTAAATCCATTGAGACAATTTCACTTTCAATAACACAGTCACTCAGACTCTGGCACGCTTAGGGACGGGTTGTCCTGCTGTCACATCAACATTAACCTTAAACGTTCTTTTCATTATCTCGGCCCTTTCACCATGCCGACCAGAGAACGCATTTCGGGTTTTCACTTTTGGGATCTCCTTGAAGCTACTTAAACTTACGGACTTGGAAGTACTCGGCTTTGATGTACTTGACGCGGATGTGCTTGACTCAGATGTACTTGACTTGGAATAACCCTTATTTCGCGGCTTTCCTAGTACAAGGCCTTCTTCCTTCTGGGCAGCATTGCTCAAGATATTAATGCAATCATGTAGAAGGGTGTACACTTCCTTCAAGCTTTCATTGTCATGAACAATGTGAGTTAATGATGTGACTTGTTTTATGGCTTCTTTGCACTTTGTGTTCCACGATCTACTTGATTTCTGTCGATATAGGGAAGTTTTGAAGGCTCTTCATCGAAAATCACATTTGGGCCATGAACCTTGTTTTCCGGTATCGCATCTTCCACTGCCTCTCTCCCATCGGTTTTAGCAATTGGCTCTTTACTAAACACGACAACATGGTCCAAAGTTAGAAAAGGAGATTCTCTGTAATGCGCAGGGAATTTTTCAAATCCCCAACCTTTGAAATACCTAAACACAGCTAAGAAGTGCTTGCAAGGAAGGCAGTGCTTCTCCCAATCAACGCATTCACAATGTGGTATTGTTTCATCGTCTCCGAACGACAAGTAATACCAGCAACCCTTGGTGTTAGGATCCAAGCTTTTAACTTTAAATGTGCCTCGTTCTTCATCTGTCACTTGAATGCATTCTTGCCCTATCTCGACAGCTGAAGACAGCCTATCCAAGCAGTGATTGACAAGCAAGGGAGGACGATCGTGCAGATAATGTGGCACCTCATCATTATACTGGCAGTACTGACTGGAAAGTCGAACATTGTTTTCGACATATCTGTGGGGAGTAAAACGACAGTTGAATGCACTTTATTCGGAACCGTGAGTTAAGTGTATTTAATCCAACTGACACATAAATGAGTAATCATTGACTAATTGATAGTCAATCAATCAATCGATCACAGGACACTGGCTAATCAAGTTATTACTCGTTGCTATCAGTTATTACTGATGTCACTTGTACTGATTTTTTTGATATATGCACATAAAAGGTGAAAACTGCTGGGCGCTTTCAAAGCTCTGTTACGGCCCGCCAAGGGTTAAAAGGCTAATTTCTCATTAAAGATTTTTGTTAGTGTTAGAGGGAAAATAAGAGGCGGTTGGACCTCGGGAATGACCTAGTGCACAAGACATAAGAGGCCATTGCGAAACAATTTGTTGGCCGGGATTCTCACTTACAGGCGTATGGACGCGAGCAACTTACACCACGTGATATTACAGACTGATATTATGACCTTTACCTACTGTATTACCTGTCGCAGCTTTCTGGGAGAAACTCCTCTATCAGAATGCTTGGCATGGTACTCAAGGAGGAGTTGCGTCTTCCTACCAAATATTCTGATGTAAAACCCAAGTTTTGACGTTCAGTGCCATTGTTGGTGTTGACATTGACAAGTATTGTCTTTGCGGTAGGCCCAAACCCAGCGCTGAATAACAGAAACAAAAAGAATCAGTATAAACGTGGTGCAGTTTTGCTTTAGCGATTTGTGCGTAAAATGTAACGAGAAACAACACGCCACAGGCATGTGGTTGTTATTTTAGCGCATGCCTTACTAGGTAGTCCATTTTATAGGAAACTGTTTGAACCTAGGAGTATCAGTAGTTCGTCTAGAGTGATCGTCCGCGTGATGGTTGGTCCAGAAAGGAACTGTTGTCATCTTCAGAGTCAAGTGAGTAGTCGCTTGACTTCTGCCCAGGTTGTCGAAACGTCAGTCACAAGCGACAGTTCTTTTCAGATCTACCATCACTCGGCAGTCTACTTTGCTGGGAAGAAAACCTCTCCATACACATTACTTTGAATAAATTCCGTTTTCCCACTAGTCTTGAATCTAGAAAATGTTCAAGAGATAAATGCTTATAAATGCAACAATGTATTCGAGTCACTAAAGGTTAACTTACACTAACAAAAGGTGGGGGAAATTGTATTGTACAACGGCAAATGGACTTACCTTGTGTTGTCTCAGCCAGGTTTTTTCAAACCACTTTCTAAAGAGAGACTGTCCCCAAAGTTCTTCGTCGTCTTTAAGTAGCTGCACCTTCTCCTCGAACGCCTCAACTGTTCTTGCACGGGCAATGCTTCTCATTGCAGCTAAGGCTTTCGTCTTTAAATGGCTCATTCCGTTGCTGATTTTTGACAGCCAACGCTCCCACGCTTGCTCTCTATGAAAGTCGCATATGTAGACAAGACATTCTAATAAAAGAGAAGTTATAGTTTTCTTGTCAAACATAAAGCAATGTCGATGTACACGTCGATCTACACATTGCAATTGCAGGCGTGCGCTGAACTGATTTTATTCTTTATGCGCTATTTCTAAGGCATTTTATGACTGGGAATGTTCTTAAAGTATATTTCAACAAACAACAACAATACCAACAAAATAAACAAACAAACAAAAACACGATGTTTCCAATTTCCACTCATGTCAAAGGTACCTGGGAAAAGATCTTCCACTGCCGAAATCTCTTCTTCAGCATAATCAGCCATGAAGTATTTTGGAGCCCAATCAGGATTCCACTTCCTAATGACAGACAAAACCTCTTTAACAGCATCAGTGGTCTCCGACTGTGTTACAAACGAAGCTACCACTTTGTATCCCACATTCGTCTTTACAACGAGGAAATAGAGGGGCAGAGAAGTGCCATCGTCCACTTTCATTTCCTCGAGATCGTCGTCTTCCAGTTCACCCTCTTCAACACTGTCTTCTCTGTCCGCAGCGGCATTCTTGGATTCTGGGTCAACATAGGGACGAAATTCGAAAAAATCACCCTCGTTTTCAGCTCGCCAAACTTTGATTTTTTCAATGAGGTTCGCCTGGTCAACCTTTGCCAAACGCTGTTTAATAACCACATTGTACATGTGATTTTTTTAGGGTGCTCTTGCTGAGGCAGAAGCGTTTATCAGACTTAGGGGGAGATGCGCTTCCTGGAAACAGACTATTCTTCACATACACATTGATGTGACGTTTCATCTCGTTTACATCTCGGACACCATCCCCGGCTAAAGCTTGTATTCTTTCCACTATTCTTGGGTCGATTCTTTGAGATATTCCAGCCACCTGTAACCCAAAGGCAGAATTTTGTTTACTCCAGGATTCATTTTGGTTTATGTATTCTGTGACAAAATGTAGCGGTCGGGTGATACCCCTCCACTTGATTTGGACTTTAACAAACAGACATACCTTTCCTAAAAAATGATTGGCCTGGTCGCAATCCCGTGGAAATTCAATATAGACCCGCTTTTCTCCCTTTCCACTTGTAAGGTCAGCCCTGAGTTGCTCAGAGGCCCTTTTTCTTCTTCTCTCCGTGTTTTCTGAGATCTTTATAAAGAAAGAAACAAAAAACGTACAAAAACATGTTACTCTCTTCAAGTGATAATGGAACCCTATGAACTTCATGCAGAAATGGCTGCCATCGACTTAGGTTATCTGGTCAAGTTTCTGCAACCACTCACCGGGTAACATCAAAAGGACATAATACACTAAAACTACTATTTGGGCTTCCCTCCAATTTGAAACTAATTTAGATACTAGATGGTATATACTACGGATAAAAATTGAAAGAATCTAAAAACGAGATAAGGTATATTGCGAGGTACCTTGTAATTAGGGAATCACTGCGTCTCTCTTGTTACCACCGTAGCTGGGCAGTTGAGCTTCTTGGTGGTCTGCTTAAACAGTCTATTTTTTTGGACCCATATAGTGGTCTGCGTCAACCTGTAATATAAGTTGTTGTACCATGTAAACATCTAGCACATTTTTCTTTCATGATAGCCATCAATGGGAAGTTGTCGCTCACTTACTCTGTTCTGTTGATTTCTTTGTTTTTCTTTAGCGTGACGGTCCATGCCATGCTGGCAATTGTACACTTTTCTACCAACAATAATATAGGGACATCCATGCATACAGACAGACAGACAGACAGACAGACAGACAGACATACATACATACTGTTCCACAGAAAGCCTTGTTGTAAATTAGCAATTCCCTGGGGTCCCCCGCCTAGTAGGAGTTTTGCACGCATGCGCAGTAAGACCTGTTGTTCGACCGCGAGGTTGCGAGTTGTCGGCCATGTTGAAAAGTGTACACGGTTATCTCCTCGGAAATTAAAATGTATGTTC